TGATAACCTTTAACAAATATATATTGGTGACTGTTTACCGCTCCCCCAGCAACAAACTTCAACAGTCTTTTCAACCTTCTTCAAATAGTGATCTCATATAAAAATAACTGCAAATATAAAAACAATAAATCGTTAATAATTGGCAATCTCAATATTGATTTACTCAGATGACTCGATCAGTACCAGTGATTTAATTCATTTTTGTCTGGTAGAAAATCTTACCACTTTAGCAGATTTATTAAAGCCCATTAGATTTAACAACCAAACTCACTCATTATGAGACAAAGGGCTAACTAATATTTGTGAAGCTAAATTCTTGATTCACCAATACCTAGTCTCAGACCATCTTCCTCTATCTGTGTCTTTATTCCCAATAAAGACACAGATAAAGGTGGAAGAGTAACTATAAAATGATGTAAAATTTATAATTCCTCAATCAAATTATTACAGAATGCTTTACTTTCCTGTTTCTCTTGGAATTATTATTACACAAATGATTTTTCCGTGGATGAACTAGCAGATTATTTTCTATCTATGTTGTTAATTTTTATTGATAAATACCTCTAACAAACTAAATTATAGCATGATCATACCATATACAAAATTAAAGGGTCTAAAAGTGAAATTGAAAACTATCGACCAATCGTTATCATCTCTGGTTAAATCATAGAGAAAATCTTCCACAAAAATCTCTGGAAATTTATAATTACAGTCGACCCCCCCTATAACACTATTGATTTTTCCATTTTATATGAATTCCATGTTGTACGAGTCACTTAGATTTTACAAATATGTGTGCCGGGCTGTGAACGACTCATGTACAGTAATACCCCGAACTTACGCAATAGGTGGGACTGAGCAGTAACCGCGTAAGTCGAATTCGCATAAGTCGGGGTATAATTTCACATATAAATACACACATATAATTTTTAATTGGGGTCGGAAACTAAAGAAAACAATAATTTAGAAAAAAATGTTTAATAAAATCTTAGATAATACATATGTATAACAAATTAGACCTATATTATTTTACAATTTTTCACATTTACTTGATTATTACGCCATAATTTTAACATTGTTTCCATCTCAGCGATAATACTGTGACATTTACGAATGATGCTTGAATGTAAAGATTGAGCATTTTTTCACAGCTTCGAGAATTTTTTCTTTGCCTTTTATAATTGTTCTGACCGACAATTCCGGTAGATCAAACTTCTTTGCCAATTCACAAATTTTCATTTTTGTATCAAAGTCTTTAATAATGGGTACGTTCGTAGTTAAACGCGTTAGTAACGAATCATTTGAAAAGTCTAACGAAATAGGAATAACGATGACGTCATTCTCGTTTAACTCGTTCGACTTTACGAACATACCCAATGTTAACTTTACATTCCAAAGATAAAGTTTTTCTTTTCTTGTTTGATGCAGAAGAATTAGTTCTACTTCGTTTGGATGACATAGTAGAGTCTCTCGAGTCTCCGTAGATATAACAAACACAGAAATAAATAACACAAAATAAATTGTAGCTATGTGTGGATTCTGCGCGACACTTCCAAACATGTAAGTCGAACAATAGTGTGGGGGGAGTGAGTAATTGAGGGTTGCATGGCGCTCAAACAAAAGACAAATCGACGAGATTTGAAAATCGCATAACTCCGGGTTCACATAAGTCGGGGTATTACTGTATTTGTAAAATCTAAGTGGCTCATAGAACATGGAATTCATATAAAACGGAAAAATCAACAGTGTTATAGGGGGGTCGACTGTATTTTAAATGTGATTCATTGACATCAATACACGTACAAATAAAACTTCTCTACAATAGATGCATTGCTACATTTTAATTAATTAAACAGGAAGTCACAGATAAATTAGATAAATCTCTTTTAGTTATAGCATTATTTTTAGATTTATCCAAAGCTTTTGACAATGTGGACCTATGGATTTTTGAAAGAAAACTTTTTAAAATTGGTCTACGAGGATCTCCTTTACAATGGATAATATCATATTTATCAAATCGTGAATATCACATAAAACTCAATAATATATGCTCAAATGGGTTTTTACCTGGAATTCCTCAGGGATCAATACTAGCACTTTTTAATATTTACTTGTATTTATTTGAAGATATTGCTCAAAGTTAATATTATTGCATATGCAGATAACATTGTTCTAATACTGTACACTCCAATGATAACCTTCAGGCAGCACAACATGAATAATGTTCTATCCAGATTAACTACTTATGAGTTCAAATATGTTAAAAGTAAACACAAATAAAATGAAATATCTCTGTTTTGTAAATAAAAATGGAAAAAAATGTTGATATGGAACAAATTCAAGTAGAAATAAATGAAAAGAAGACAGACAGAGTAAACAATATAAAATATCTCAGAATACTGGTAAACAACAAACTCAGGTACAACAGACACAGCAACAGTCTTCATTAAACTTTCTAAGTTTACAGGAATAATAAGGGAAACACAAGACTTTTTTAAATATAAATACTGTAAAACATCTCTATCACACATGTATTGAACCAAAAATTCAATATGGTATTGTTATCTGGGAACTGCAACCAACTATATTGTAAACAGACTGCAAATACAGCAAAATCGACTTATGTGAACCATATATAAACGGAATTGCTATGAAACAATCTCCACTTATTACCATCAAGAAAAAATAGACAACATATAAACTTTACATGCAAAATGAACCCTACTTTTTTAGTTTCAGACTTAAAGATTAAAATGAACAACTATCATCATCTTGATATAATGGAAAAAACTACAGCCTTTGACAAAACTATAACTATTTAAAACACACTACAAAACTCTCAACAGGACAGTCTGCTCTGTTTTCCAGAAGATAAAATATTGGAATTTGCTAAACAAAGAAATACAGGAAATAACCAATCAAAAGAAGTTCAAAACGATATGAAAAAATCCTCTTGGTCAAATTTTTATAAGCTAAATAGAAAAGACAGAAGAAAAAAAGTTAATGAAATTGAAGTATTTGGGCTGTAAACGATTTTTTTCTAAAAAAAAAAAAAATGCAGTTGTTATTGCAAATTGATAAACAAATGAATTATGAAGTCTGTGATGTCAAAACCCAAGGATCAACTAAAGGAAAGCACAATTCCAAGTATTGGTCAATATAATTTTATGCTTTAAATGATCAATGATTATAGTTAAAATTTTTCATTCCATGTAAAAAATTTATAGTAAAACCTGTTTAAAATGGAATATGAGAGACATTGTTTCTCCTTCAATATAAGTGATTCATATTTCAAAGCCATGTTGAAAATACCAAATGTGTCTGTGATAGAGGAAAAATCTGCATTAAAAATTTATAATGCACTTGGAATAAATTTTAATGATTTGAACTTTAGCTGCTTTTTACATTTAAAAATTCCACTATATTCAAGCTATATTGTATAATTGGTAATCAAAAGATTCTTCCATTTCCATATTCTGTTTATTGTTTAAATCAGAGGTGTCCAACCCCTGCAAGGTCCAAAGCAAGTTCCAATGAGGCCCAGTAAACGTGTAAACAAAACCGACAAATGTTTTAATTTTTTTATTATTTATTTATTTCAACGGCATAAACTTAAAAAAAGAAGTTTCACAAAGTCATAAACCTTTATTCATGTTTTATTTTTGAGTGGAAAAGAAATATTTTTAAATACTTGGAGATGTGTGAATGAGGAAGGATTACTAAATAAAGCTGAAGTTGTGACTCAGAGAATTATAGACCCAAATTTGGAAAAAGGAGGAAAAGGTGAGAAAGGACAAAAGATAAAAAGTAGTGAGAAAAGTTAAATAGATCTTTTGTTATGCAAGTATTGACTTTTAATTTTCCAACCTTTCTCACTTCTTTATCTTTTCTCCTTTCTCTCCTTTCCCTGAATTTGGGTCTACAATCCTTTGAGTCACAACTCCAGCTTTATTTAGTATTTCTTCCAACGTTGCAAGATTTGGCTACATTGTGCCAAATGTGGCTACTTTTTTTGTTTGACGTAGAAATTATCATTTGGTGCATTGGCTACTTCTTGGGCTACATATTATTTATAAATATATTAGTTGAATAAAAATGCACTTTAAAATGTTTCGTCGCTTTTTATTAATTAGAGACCCAAATAAAACAAATATTTGTGTTTTTCAAATAAATTTTTGTTTGTCTCCTTTATGAATTTATCAATTTCTAAGTAAAAATTGTCTGTAGAAGTAATTTTTTAAAATATCCTTTTTCGTGTTAAAGATTTAATACTTATTATTATAATCTAGATGTGTTAATCCTTAAACATACTTGTATATTGGGCCACAAGTATATATTATATATACTTGTGGCCCAAAACTCCTTGACTTCTTCCAATGTGGCCCAGAGAAACAAAAAGGTTGGACACCCCTGGTTTAAATGAATAGAGATTTGTGGCTTATAATAGTAGTTTACAAAAAAAATTATTCTGATCTGAGATTTATTTTCTGTTTAGGCAGGTTTCTGCTTTAGAAAGAGTTTTACTGTACATGAATTGATACTCTCTTAGAAGTCAGTTTATTACTTAAAACTTTAAACTTAATAACAGCATTAAAAATAAAATGTCAAAAGCAAATAACAGCTGCCAATTGAATAATAAAACATTTAAAATAATTTAACTTATAAACATTCTAATTATAGATTAATTCAAAGTTAACAATCAACATTTTTTGCATTGAACACAAAAAATAAGTGGAACATAAACTGACTGACAACTTAAAAATTATTAGCTTTGTCTTATTGATGATATAAATATGAAGTCACTTATTAACAGCGAACTAAATATATGATGATATTAAGTACATTGTTAATATAATTCTTTATAAAATATTTTGATTTAAAATTAATATTATAAAATATGTTTCAGTACATAATAGACTTTTTTAATATAGATGTGAGGAAATATTTTAATAAAGATTTAAATTAAATATATTACTTAATCTAAAATAATTTTCTTTCAGTTTTAGCATTTGGATGGACATCAGAAGAATTGTCTCAATTAATTTCAAATCTTACAATTTGTTTACCCAAATATGACAATGTTAAATACAGCACATTAATTGAAAAATTAGATTGGGAAAAAGTTCGGTTTGGCAATTATTCTGCATCGGAATGCAAAGAAAAATGGATGCAAATTATGACAAAAGTAAGATGTTATTAAATAATTAAAAATGAATTAGTGTTTTAACAAAATATTATACCTATAACATTAAATGAAGTAAATGAAATTATAAATAGAAATTTAAGCAATTTTTTTTTTATCTTAATCATTTGTTGTTAGAGAATTGTTAGTGGAATGAAACATTAAAAAATCTGTACATTCTACCATATTATGTAATAGTAAAATTCATATATGGGTTTTTTTTAATATAAAAGTAAACTGATTTATCTAATTTTAAATTTCAAATGACAAAATTATATAGTAGAATCATCTTATAGTAATTATTGATATTATCATCAGGACATTTAATGTTATCAGAATTAACAAGTTTCAAAAAATATCTGTGGTCAAATTTTTCTCATTCTAAGCAGAATTTGATCACAGATAACTTTTATCATCAGGTAAGTAGGCTTCTTTTATTTTTTCTATTTTCCACCATCAGTCTCAGTAGTATGGTAATTGATGTACAATTGTTATCAGTCTTAATCAGTGCTTTAAATATTAATTTTTTAATTTATTTACTGAAAGTATAGTAGTTTAAATTGATATTTTTTTCTTCAGTTATACATCTACTGTTGTTAAAAGCAGTAGGCAAATAACACTGGATAACTACTATTGAAGATTTATTAATTACAATTATTAAATTCTGTCTTTTTTAATTATTTTAATGTAACTTTAAATGATGTAAAAAAATGATTTTTATTTATGATTAAATTCACTAAGGCATAGAAAGAGACAAGTGATATATCACAATAAATCTTTTATACTCATAATTTTTAATCTGAAATGGTTGTGCTCATTCATTTTGTTTGTGTTTTGGATAACCAAAACAGCATTGGTCCACATTACCTTGGATAATTGGAGTTCTACTGTATTTTCATCAAACAACTAGTATTTGTCAATTGTCAATGAAAATTTTTGTAGAGATTTGAGTTTAAAAAACTATTGGTAAGAGAACATATATTTTTGTTTTGTTTTATGCAGTGGAAATCAAAATAATTTTTATTGCATAAAACAAATACATATGCTTTGTTAAATTTTTTCATTTAAGGTGTTGTAAGAAAAAATAGTTCTTCTATTTTAATTAAACATTCATGTCGTTAATTAATTGAAACACTTCTGTGTTTTAGTATGATAATACTGCATATATTATTTTAGTTCAATTTTAAATTATGTATAAAATTTAAAATCTTTCTCTTCTTAGTTACGTCGATTTCGTACCCTGACAGATATGATAACAGATGCAAAAGAATGGTTAAAACACCCGTGGTCATCTTACTGCAGTTCAAAAAAACAAGTAAGCTTTATTAATTTAATATTAAAAGCATTTATATATAAGTATTTAAACTTTTAATATTTAGTTTTCAGATTATATAAACTTCTAATATCAGAATAAGATCTATTACAAAATACTAGTAGATTAATGCTTTTAATAACATATATTAGAAAGTAATGTAATTTATTTAATACTTAAAATTTCACAGTTTGAAATTCTGTTGATTAGTTTTATATTTAGTTAAAACAAAACAATAATATACTGGTAATTAATTAAAGATTATAAAACAATAATATGAAATTTTGAAAATAAATATTACTGATAGAAAAAAGAACATTAATATTTAATTTACATTTTATAAAATTATGGCATTACTTTTACATGTATCAAGTAATCATATTATTTGAGAAAACCTAATAAAAAATGGAAATTTTGCCTTTAAATTGTAGACAAATTTCAACTATATCTCCATAATATAAAAATATATTTAACCAAACTAATCCAAGGATTATTATTTTATCATTCCTTGAAAAGCATTCTTATTGCTTTTATGACAATTTGAATTATATTTAATGATAAATTAAATAAAACTTTTAAAATTTTAAAATATTTGATAAAATGCAAAATGTTGCAGTCAATATGAAATATATATTAAAAAATATTTAATGTATAGTAAAAGTGAGTGTGAATGGAAACATATGAATATATAGTACTTTATTTTATTATAGTTTAGAGAATAGTGTAATACAAGTTCATCAAGTTTTATTTTGAACTGTTTCTGAATTTATTTGAAATTGCCAGTTTTACATTAGCATAATAAATTGCCATTTTAAAGTTTGATTTCTTATTCTACAAACAATTATTTTTCTTTTTTAGTTTAAGCCAACTTTTATAATAGTGATTAATATATAGTTTTATAATAGTGATTAATATTAAGGAATTTAGCATTGACTTTAATAGATGATGATAAAGGCCCTATAACTTTAAAGTATTTAAGTTATGAGAACTGGCTTAAAACTAATAATCATATTGTTAATAGCTTATTAAAGCTGAAACTAAGCATTAAACTTTCTTTTAATGTTTACTTCTAGAACAATAACAATAAGTGTTTTCATTGTAAATTATGTATTTGATTAACTTTTTTAACATTTAACTTAACATTATTACTTACATTTTGCTACAATTAGTTTTTACTTTAGTTTAATTTTCATAACTCTTAACGATGCTTTTATAGCTCTTAATTTCACTTTACATTCTGTTGTTAATATTCTTTAATGGAATGGAGATTTTATTCTTTATAATTTGGCTGTCAAAGTGTTGAAGATTGTTCAATGGATTTTGACCAAAAGTTTGTAAATGCCTTCAATATTTAAGTTTTTTACATTCATTTGAGCATAATATGATAAAATATATAATTAGCTCTAGTTTTAGAAATAAGGGTTCTTTATAATATAAAAATTTCACAAGATACAAATTACAAAATAAACAATACAAATTGAAGATGTTACAGTGTATTCTGTATAACAGATGTAACAGTGTAAAAAATTCAGCCATCGTTTTTAAATATCAGTTTAAAAGAAAATGTAAAAATAAAAAAGGAAAAAAAAATTACATTTACAAGATTTACATTAATTCTATGCTGAAATAAACTTACACAATGTAACAAAGATAAACTAACATTTGAAAAGTATATTATTGTGTTGTTCGGAAAGTAATTTCGTTTTTTTTATTACTAGACGGATTAGTTGTATTTTTCCCGCCATTTTCATTCTAAACCATATTATCATTATATATTTTGACAGCTAGCATTGTAAGGCTTATTTGTAAAAAATTTTGGTTGATTTTGTGCAATTGTTTATTTTTTGTGTCCCATCAAATATGGAAGATCGAAAGCATCATTTTTGGCATATTTTGCTCTTTTATTATCGAAAAGGTAAGAATGCTGTTCAAGCAAGAAAAAGATTGTGTGACATGTATGGAGAAGATGTATTGACAAGAACGACAGTGCCAAAACTGGTTTACAAAATTTTGTTTTGCAATTTCAATATTGAAGATGCACCACGTTCTGGATGGCCAGTTTGAAGCCAATGAAAACAAAATAAAGGTACTGATTGAAGCAAACTGCCAAATAACAACACATGAAATCACTAAGAGGTGAAATCTGTCAAATTGAACCACTTATGATTACTTGAAACAAATAGATTTCATTTCAAAGCTCGATATATGGGTTCCACATATTCTTAAAGAGAGATGCTCTGTTTGGTGGGATTTTAAGGAATTTTTTTTTTTTTTTGAAGCTTTTATCAGACAATTTAACAATTGATTCGAAAGTGTACTGCCATCGAGTAAACAAATTGAGTAATATCATCAAACAGAAAAGGCGGCCAAAATTGATCAACAAAACAGGTGTACAACAAAACAATAATGTCAAATTTCACACAAGTTTGGTAACTCATCAGAAACTGTTATAACTTAGATGGACATGCTATCACACCAACCATATTTGCCAGATTGAGCACACTCAGATTATTACTTGTTCCAGTCTATACAAATTTTTTAACTGTAAGACATTTACTTGAAATGACAATGTCAAAAATCACTTGGATCAGTTTTTTGTAAGCAACAATCAAAACTTTTATGAATGTGAAATCGTGCTACTACCAGAAACGATGACAACAGGTATTTCACCAAATGGTGATACATAATTCAATAAAATATTTATTATAAAAATATTTGTGTTTTTTTTCTATGGAAAAAAAACGAAATTACTTTCCAAACAATCCAGTACAATATATTAAGGTAGTCTTAAGTTCAGCATGTTTGCTTGTGTGAGATTAGCTGGGGGGTACAGAGTAGTTTATTACTTGTGTATCACTTATAATCGGCGCAGATTTGAAATAATCTGTTCTCGGAGTTTCGAATCGAGAGATCCGATCTCTAAATCTTTTTCATAGGAGGGCTGTTAATATTTAAAACGATCTGGACGGTGAAGTATAGATGTACGTCAGGATTCCTTGACACCAGTTAATCAAATTTAGATACGCGGATTAACACGTGTTTTGAGATAATATTGATGTGATTCAGACAAAGATGAGACATTTCTTTAAACAAATAATAAAAGATTTAATAAACTAAAAGTAAATAAAATTACACAAATGGAATTATTCAAAAATAAAATTAAGCGAATGAGAGACAATGGATTAATTAAATATACGCTTTGAGAGAGAGAGCTCACAAATTCATTTATAATCACACTACCTCAAAGTTTACTTGTCTTTATGTTCATCTGTATTCGATGATCATACTTCGTTGCATGGAGAGGTCTTGATTTGGCACAATATTAAAAGTTTCTTCTTTTCTCCTCTATTAACTCATTATTATACTCGATGGGATACGACTCTGGCGTTGGCCTTTAAGACAATATATGGGAGACGTCTCTCCTCTATGAGATCTTCCGACGTACTCCTAACTAAGGGCATTGGCCTTAGGGAGACAATATGGGATCTTCTTTCCAATATGAGATTCCCCAATGTACTCCTCGAATCATGCAGATCTTTGACTATATCTCATGATTTGTGACCAATCAGCTTATTTGTCTTCACTCATGTGAACGGATGAAAAGGGGAATTGTTGGGGGGGTCGACAATTCCCAGTGTGGTGAGATTTGTGATAGATAAGTGGAAAACAGAAGGATGTGTCTGCTTCTGTTAAAGGAAGTGGCTCTTTTATCAGTTTTCCCACGTTAGAAAAACAATATTTTCACACCACAATGAAATAATATTTTATTTCAAAAATTTAACATTATATTTAAATTGTTAATTAGTCCCAGGGGTAATTCGGATCTCACACTTGGTTTATCATGTATGGAATACCTCTAGAGCATCTCTCTTCATAGTCCAGCAATAGTCTGCAAACAAACTACTTGCATGGCATGACATCATTTCGCTTCATGCCTCTTCTCTATAGCTGCAATAACCTGATGAAATCAGTCATTGTGTTCTTCGCTAACTGCTCCGTAGTTCTTGCAGAATAAGTCAAGATGAGCATGTTAGAAGTGGATTTTGAGAGAGAGTATAACCATGGTTTCTACAATGACCACAGCTCATTCATAAGCTCCTTGTAATTTTGTGCCTTGTTTTTTCCCCAGAACTGCAAACATTCTTAAAATTTTCATACACAGCTTTCTCATCACATTGTAGAATTTCATCAAATTGATGATCTCTGAAAAGCTCCCAAATTGTGAATCTGCAAAGATAGTCTCTTTGACTTTATCATTACTTAATTGAGGGAATTTTCCTTTTCAGTGCTTATAGACCTCACCTTCTCCTGGTTCATACTCTTGACAAAGCTTTTCATAAATCTTCATTTAATGTGTAATTATAGAAGAAAAATCTTTTTAGAAACCACCAGTGGTTTATTTTGGATATTCTTCACACCTGAAGGTTTTTCTGGTAAGCTGGTTTTGGTGTTATGAGATGCATGAATGCTACTATCCTATGCACAGATAAAACAGTAATATTTTGTATAGACTGACTATGAGCCTAGTAAGTGTGCTAGTATCTTTAGATCACCACAAATCTGCCACCGAAAGTCATGGTACTTGCTGGCTACAAGTAGAGGTTACATCTTTTCATAAGATTCTTTCTTATGAGCAGCATGCCAATCTGGAATTGAAAGAAAATTACAACATGGAGAAGCTGCTTTGAAACTCTCCTTAGAATAGTCTTTGAAGAGTATCCACTTTTTAGGCTTGTTATTGATGCTAAAAATTTAAGAAAATATTTTATATCTAATATATTTTAAATCAGAGGTTTTAAAACTTATGATTTTTTGATAAATGTATATATATGATAGTCAAAAATAAACCAAACTTTTAATTTAAGTTGATAGTATAAATATTTGTAGAAGACCATCTTCAAACTAAGCACTTTTTGTTAGCATCCATACTGTTTGTCAACAGTATTGGAAATCATCTTTTGTAATGTCTTTAGGGGCTCTAATCACTGTGGCTTCCACCCTTCTCTAGTCAGTGAATATCTGATCAAGAAGGGCTTAACAATATTTTCCCAGTTTCCATACTCTCTTGATTTTTGTCTGTGTAGACTCTTTCCTAAAACAAAAGAGAAGTATGAAGGAATGCAGATTCTAATAAGCAGCATAGTGAAAGATGCAGTGACAAAAACCTTTAATGACATCACAAAAAGTGCTTCAAAAATGCTTTCACAAGTAATATAGATGTTGGTAGAAGTGCAAAGAAAGCTTACTTTGAAGATAATGTGATAAGAATATAGTAAAGTGTTGTTTAATAAATCTGTGGTAAAAGTTTGGTTTTTTTTACTGTACCATCTAATATTGCTGTTCAATTAAAAAAATAACATAGAATTTTTTTCATTATGGATTTGTACTTAGTAATAACTAAGTACAAATCCATAATGAAAAAATATGTTGTCTTTAGCAGTGTTTCTTAACCTATTGCTCATTGTACGTATACTAGTAAAATTATCCATAATTTTACATGGACCAGTAATTATATTCAACTATGAATTGTGCTTATATATACTTATCTAGAGTTACTGTATGTAACAAAGTTCATAAAGTAACTCTACTATTTACATAACTGTGTCACCATCAGTATGGTCAAATATTTTTCTGTGAACCAATGAAATTTTTCTGCAGACTGATACCAGTCTATGAACCAGTGATTGAGAAACTGGTCTATAGAATTAACTTCCATTTCCATCTGGTTGATGTTTTCAACAAGCAACTTAAGACCAATAAATTTATATTAGCTTTATTCTATATGTATAGTGTATTGTTTGTTATAACACACTATTTACTATATTGTTTATATTTTCTGTATACATCTTTTCTTGATATTAAAAAGCTTAAATATTGCTACTAATTACTTCATAAATAACACTTTTTTATTGATGATTAACTCAAATTTATAAGACATACAGCATTTATGAAGATTAAACATAATTTTGTAAGGTTAATATATACTGCATAAATAAAATTAAAGTTATTAGTACTCCTTCAGTTATATAATAATTCTTGCAAGGATAATAATGACAAACCTGGTTATTATAATACTGTATATGTAAAAATTCTCTATCACAGAATATAAATTACTAATCATTGAGAAACTGGCTAGAAATGGAATCATTAATTTGGCAGGTTGGTGTTTCATTTAGCTTGTTAATAATCATTATGATAAAAATTTTGTATTGTTTGGCAATTTGAATATGTGAGAATACAGGGGTACGAATATGAGAGTGTTATTCATTACCCTTTTGATCCGTCGGTTCATTAGGACTTGCTCACAATGTCACTGAATGGCGAAATTTATAAAATGTCATTGAGATCTTTTGATCCTTCTGACTTCAGGACCTGACACCAGCTAGGGTAGGAATTCACACCCTAACTCACAATATTAAGATCTATATTTAAAAGGAAGGCTGTATAATTTTCGAGTGGGGACGTCGCAAGTTCGATTATATGGCGTTTCAGATGTTTGTATTCAACCAAGTGAACAGACAGGTTAACAAGTAACAAACAAAAGTTTAATGAATAAAATAAAGAAATACATAAAGGAATAATCTATCATTATATCAATGCCTAACTATGTACTTAAACCAGAGAGAGCATTTACAAATGGCTTTAAGTATAATACCTCTGGGCTAGTTGATTCATTTCAATTGAGTAATCCAAATGATATGTGGTGATGTCTTTCCACATACGGAGACGAAGGAGGGCTGGAAGGTAGTGAGACAGGACTTCAATGCTTGACCGTTTTGACTATGGGGAATCTTATGGCAGTCCTGGTTACTGTTGTCAGCTGCCTTCCTCTATGGTAGTTTCTTATTATCATTTGCTGCCTGTTATTATGTCAGGTTCTTATAATCATTGACTGCCATGAATTTGTGGGTTTTTCCCCAACTTTCCTCCAATTGGGATTTGGAGTTCAAATCATCTGACAGGACATATGAGGAGTCAAACAGTAAGATGTTTGTCAGAGATGTGTGATAACATCTTTTCCAAGAGAAGTTTTCTTTTCTTTTCCCATGAAAAGTGACAAAATGTGTCATTTTTTATGTTAAAATGTTACTTTAAATTGTTGATTAATTGAATAAATTTTTAACTGATTAAATAAAATCATTCTCTATTCTTGAATTCTCACAAATATATAATTTGATAGTTGAAATTTCAACATTTTGCATTGTTATCTTAAATACTTACACTTTGAATTTTCAAAATACTGTAAATCATTAATTGAAATTTTAATATGTTTTATAAATTAATACAATATCTTACTAAGCTGGATAAATATTTTAAAATAGAAATATAATAGTTGAAATAACACTGATCCTATTAAAGTAAAATTTTAAATTTGATTTATTTAAATTACACTTACTACAACAGACAATTATGTAATTTTTTTTTCAGTTACTGAAAACTAAGTTATTGTCTCAATGTATGTATGTAGACATGAGTGCCAAAATTATTACATTGCAAATTTAATTAATAATTTTTAATGATTTATTCAGTATCAATATAAATAAAATAAATAAGTATAAATATAGCATTTTTTATCAATTGTGGAGACCAACACCTGTGCAATTTCAAATAGACCAATTTCTTACTTTAACAGATTTCATGGTATGTGGTTTCCACTGTATATTATATATGTAATATCATAAAGTTATACTTATTTTAAAGAAACATCCAGAAATGCCGAAGAAGCCATTGACTCCTTATTTCCGTTATTTCTTGGAAAAACGTCAGAAATATAGTCGAGAACATCCCGACATGTCCATGACGGAGCTGGCTAAAGTTCTTTCTAAAAAATATCAACAGCTTCCAGAAAAAAAGAAGGTAAATGAGATTTTTTACTATTGAGTTAAAGCATTTTTATAAGATTTTAATAACTAATAATAATATCTTTAAAAAATATAATGTGCCATATTTTTACATATTGAAACTTTACAATTAACAATTAAAAGCACCATATTTCCTGCAATAATCACCTACTGGGCTGTTTATTTCAGGGGGCAATTATTGAAGTAAAAATTATTGACATTGTAAGAAAGAAAGCAGCATGATTCCAAAAGAGATGTAAAACTAACTTAACAACCAATGTAAATTACTAGCTAAATTGGAATATTGTGACAAATAAATAAAAAATATTTTGAGTAAAGTACTTGAATTGCCTTTAATCAACTTTTTGTAAATTTCCAATATGAATAATATTGACTGTCAGTAGTGATATTATCCAGTATTTGTTTTTCTGACTGCAATGTAGGAAAAGATTGTATTGATACGTGATTTATTTAATAATATGAAATACCACTAATATATTAGTATTTAGATTAATTGGTGCAGAATTTACTTCACAATACAAGTTAGATGGGTGATTATTACAAGAATATTTTTGTGGATGATTATTACAAGAAATATGGTGTTATGGTGTAACTATCTTCTTGTGTTAATACGCTTGAATTAGTTTTGATGATAATTTTATTTTTGCATGTTATTAGTTAAGTGTATTAATATTAAAAGACTGTTAATAATGAATTGCATGTTTGACAGAGATCCCATAAAAAATTGAAAAATTTGCTGCCTCCCATAACTTTTTTATGATTAGATACATAAATATTTATCATTGTTACATATTCACAAGTGTATTAGGTTTGTGTATTAGGGGATTGATGCTATTAAATTTTGGTGGTTAAAAATCAATGGAGTGGAGTGATAGATAGGGTTGTGTCATATCTCCGGTTGGATTGGACTTAATGATGGTTTTACTCGTTATTAGCATTTACAAATTTTTATAAAAAGCATATTATAAAATATAAAAAGATTTTTTAAAATAAAATATTGTAACAGTTGGTGCCACATGCAATTTTAAATGTTCCAGGGAAGTTAAGCAACTCATTCTTGGATTTTTAAATTTTTAATATAATTTATACTGACAAAAATGTATATAACTATATATTGATGCATATCTGACGAAATGAAAAGATAATTAGAAATCTAAATTATTTCATATGACTATTATAATAATTGCATCAAAAAGGAAGAGAAAAGCATGTAGATGATGCTATTGGATGCTATGAAGTATGCTTACAGAATATCAGTAAGAGCTGTCATTTTTTTTCTAATGGTTTGAAAAATCTACAGTGGTGTTTCTAGCAGATCGAGTTTTCAGAAACAACCTGAAATATTTTTGTTAATATGGCTAAGATTTAGCACAAGTATTTAAAAGTATCTTGTAAACACCACTGTTAAACCTTTACTTTCTGTAAGAAATAATACACAAATGAACAAATGTTTTTGATCTTAATCAAGATCTGTCTCAGGTTTTGGATCACTTGGGTTCCAATTATGGAATGCAAAGATTCAAATGTATTTAAATACAAATTATTTTAACAAGTTTGGAATTATGAAAAGTATCTTGAATTAGTAAGTTATCAGACTATTGGACTGCTTTAAGATTACCAGTAATTTGTCATTTCTGTGCATTAGCTAAATGATTTTCTAGTTATTTTCAATTGTGAAAGCATGAAAAACATATTAGATACAACAAAAGATGGCTTTGTACTGTACATCAAATTTTATTACTGAAATTAAAGAACTGTTCTTGAAAAATTAGCACTAAAAAACAGTTCTTCCTTAATCTTACAATGAGCTTTTCATATCAACTATTGTAATTTTTAATGATAAATTATTTCTTTAGTAATACTTAGTAGTATGTATTTACAAATCTTCAGTTTTTTAAATAATTTTTATATGCATCAATTTTTATTATTATTCAAGCAGAATATTTAATTTACATTCATATCTAATAAATTTCGCACACTTCTTGGGGATATTCATATTGTATTTTAAACAAAGAAAGAAAATTTGATTTCACTCTAGTATTTAAATTAATAATATAGAAGGTAAATGTTATATATACTTAATAATAGAATAAATTTTAATAAAATGTTTATTTTTATCTCGTTGGGTTTATAATATGAAACAAAACTTTAAAATTTTAGAAATTTGTTATTTTAAATTTTTTATTCATATGATTTTGTTTTTGTAGATTTAAATTAAATTAATTTATTTATAATTTAATATCTGTATAATTATTTATTACAGCAAAAATACAAAGAAAACTATGAAAAAGAAAATGAAGTGTATAAGCAAGAACTAGAAAAGTTTAAGTGAGTTCAAAGTTGAGATTATTTATTTATTTATTTTTGTAAATATATATTAATATTTTATAATATATTTACAAAATAGAAATCCTTTACATTAATATGTTAAATTTTAAAAATGATAACTGGATTTATTTTTCTCCATTATGAAGGCAAATATTAATACAGTAGAGCGTCGATTATCCAAATCAATTGGACACTGGGGTTGTTCGAAAAATCGATATTTCGGATAACCGATTATGTATGAAAAAATGTATTAACCTATCCTGTGTTGAAATTTTTTTCCGTTGCATGTTGCTTTGCGTTGAATTTTCATCGATATTAAGCCTAACATAAACTTTTTAAAATAATAATCGTGACTATTGTATCATTAAAAATTATTTCTTTATTTTGTACAAACAAAATGAATATATTGAAAAATATAAAAACAATAAAAAATTATACTTCAGAAGTTAATTTAGTATCAAAAACGTAAAATATTTGAGTAGCCCAAGACATAGCCAAAGATTGCAGCGCCACAGCACTGGCGAAAATTTAAATTTGTCGACTGGAATTCTTTCGGATAATTGACGCACTACTGTAATAGTAATAAATAGATTTTCTCTTAGAATTTTATTAGTTAGTTTTAAAATTGATAAGTAATAAAATTAAAATATGTATACTATTCCGTTACTTTATCTTGTAATGTATTACATAAAATTTGATTTAAATATATAAATAATTAATTTTTTAACAATTTACTAGAATTAACTAAGTTAGAATGTTATTTTGAAATTAATGTTGCTGATACTATAGTAGGAATTATTATTTAGCCTGGAAATTGACATACTGAGTAATTGTAATTAAAGTATCTTCGTATGATCTAGAGAGAGATTTAGCAGTCCAAATGCAACAGAATCTGGTATGGTAATATTTTACAACATATAGAATATATTCCTGTAAAAAAAAAAAGAAATTATACCAAAACTGACCACTATGCACTGCATGTGGTGAAAAAATGCAATTTCTTTGCATAAGCACTCAAGTTGCAGTCAAGTTCTGGGTATAAAAGTGATCATGATTGTTGAATGTCATTCTTATTAGCTATGGTAGTCATTATCTTGCCGGAATGTGCATTTTATGTAAAACTATTTTATGAAAACAATGCCAGTACTGCAGCTGCACTTTGTACCAAGGACCATTGACTCCACAAGCTCTTGGAGGAATGATCATTCAGATCATTCTTCCAAGAGCTTGTGGAGATTCTGGATGTCTGGGAGTTCAACCCAGTTGAGGGCACAAACCTATTACTTCATAAGTCATTGAAGCTATTGCCACAGCTGTTTTTGAACAATCAATGAATAATGTTGCATGCTTAGCAGTGCAATTACAGTGTTGCAGAATTTTTGTGTATCTATGATTACCATATTTTGAAATCCCAAAATGACATTCCAACCAGCTTTGTGATCAGAGTTGAAAATCAAGCTTTGAAAAAATTTTTTAGCTACAATAATATATTTTGAGAAATGTTTATTTCTACAGCCATGTAACTTAAATAAATTATATTAAGCTATTTCATTTTAAAATGTTTTAGTGTGTTAACAAAATGCCTAGTATCAGAGAATGTGACTTAGAAAACAAAGGTTATCCACACATTAATCACTTTCCTTTGATTTGTCAATAGCTTTAAAAAGTCACTATTGTTTATCAAGTAGCCAAAAAAAATTTTTGCATGTAAAGTTTTGAAATTAATTTTAAAAAGCAATTCCTTTTACAGAAGCAATTTTTTTTCTTTGGTTCACTATGCTTATATTATATTAGTGAAAAATCTTTCAATGAAATACTGTGAGCTGGTATTGGAAGAAAACTGGGCTATAAAATATAACATCTTAAACTTCCAGCAATACAATGGTTTAATATCACACTAACATTTTCAATCAATTTAACTAATCATTACCAGGCGAATTGAATTATAAATTACATTAGAACATATGTACATTGAACATTTGAGGAAGAATGCTTATTCATTAATATTCCAACAATTCAAAAACAAGAACCAAAAACAATCTCTAATATGCTGTAGATTAACACAAAATTTTAAGAACACAAAAGTTAAATTACGGACCAAGCAGTTATAATAAACTATTATAATAATTGTTTATAAAGTAAACCAAAAATAATGAGCATAGATCTTTCAGGAGTTCTCTTTTCATTACACCACTTCTTGTTATGCCCTTTCTACAATATTAAATGTAGTTGGATTACTTATTGTGACTTGACTTTCCATTATATATGGCAATATTTTCTTCGAATTAGAGAACTTAGTATCATCATTTTCCATCAAAAAATTTTATACTTATTTTTGTAACTTTACAGGAGATATTTTAGATGTAACCATTTAACCCAGAAAATTCCTGAAAAGATCATATCCAAATATTTAAATAATCTAAACATCCTTCTTACAGTCCTTTCACATTACACAGAAACTGTCTCATCACCTTCCATTTTCTTCAGCATATCCTTTATTTCGAGTAGTATGAAAGGTTTTTCATTATATCAATAATGGAGTTACAGTAGAGCATCTATTATCTGAAACAATTTGGGACTGGGGTTGTTCAGATAACTGATTATGTATGAAAAAATATACTAACCTATCCCATGTTGAAATTTTTCTCTGTTGCGTGTTGCTTCGTGTTGAATTTTCGTCAATCAAACCTAACTTTCGCCTAACAAAAATTTTTTTAAAATAATAATTGTGGCTATTGTATCATTAAAAATTATTTCTTTATTTTTCATAAACAAAATAAATATATTTAAGAATATAAAAACAAAAAAATTATATTTAGGAAGTTAACCTGGTATCAAAAATGTTCCAATGCAGAAATGAGTTACATACCTTACATAAAGTAGGCCTACAGTTTAGGAAAAGAAGTCCAAAATTGTCTTTTGCTTCACAGCTGAGACTCATTTTTTTGCTGCTAAATCTCGCACATGTTTTAAAGACAACAGTTGGATAGCATCACAGTCTTCTTGCTGTTCTAACCACTTCATAGCCATCTCAAGGCAGTGAAAAGCTCCCTCACTGGGTGGTTCTTTTTCAGCACTGTCGTTGCAAGGGTCTTGGTCGTTGATAACACTGGCAATGATTTCATTGTCCAACAATACTTGATAGCCAGGATCATTGACATCACACTTGAGCCAGTTTTGAATGTTTTCCTTGTCACATTCTTTAATCAACCCAAACAGTTGTGATACAAATTAGCTGTTTGGTGGCTCTTCAGGTGCAGTGATAGACTCATCTGATGGTAGGAGTTTATTCCAGCTGTTGTTAGTTTAGTGTCCTTGACAGTAGCCCAAGCTTCTGCTGCCATGTACATAGCATCCTTCATGTTAATTTCAGTGTACACTTGCTGAATTGTTTTTTCACATTCTTCCTTGATCATTACCATACACAACAATGACTTTCTATAATATTGTTTGAAGCTTTCAATGACCCCCTGGTCCATGGGAGGCAAGAAAACAACTTTAAACTTTGTTTTCTCTTTTCAGTGAAATGTTTGAGAGATGACTTGGAGCATTGTCAATCAACAACAAAACATTTCCAGAATTTCCAGTTTTAAGCTGATGCTTTTTGACTTCAGGATATATACAGTGTCATACCATTCTATAAAAATGGTTGTCCATGAATTTTTTGATTTTTGTAGGTGACTGGCAATTTTTTATTCCCTTAAAGCACTGTGAATTTTTAAACTTTCCTATGATTAGCAAAGTTAGTCTGTGTGTTCCAGTAACATTTCTGCATACCATAACAGTGATGCATGATTGCTTGCCTTAAAACCAGGTACTAACTTTTCATTCTTGGAAACTAGGGTTTTTGTTGGCATTTTCTTCCAGTACAAACCTGTTTCATCTGCACTGTAGACATTGGGTTTTTTATAGCCCTCCTTATCATGTTTTTATAAGACTCTTCAAACATTCAGCTGATTCAGTATCAGCTGACAGTTTTTCACTCTGGATGTCTAATTTCCTAATTCCATGCCTAGATTTGAAATGCATAAGCCAGCCAGTAGTCACTTTAAATCAGTGTTCCCCCTAGTTTCTTGTCCATTTCAAGAGCTTTTTCACAAATCAAAGGGCCACCTATTGGTTGTCCTTGGCTACGTACCTTCATGAACCATGTATAAACTGCAGTGTCCAAATCCTGGTTTTCTGCCATTTTCATCGTTTTTCTGTGCAAGCTTCCGTCTTCACTGTCAAGTACACTTGCAAATTTTTTTAATGGCATTACTGTTCTTTTTAATGTCCAATATTGTGGCATTTTCAACTCCATATCTACTACTCTTCAACTGATCTATTATTTTAAGTTCATCAGAAACACTAAGAACAACGCATTTACGTTTAGTCGCCATTGCGAACAGTACAACAAATACAGCACAATCTGTTACAAGTGTGGAATTCACAGATCCAAAATTAATGTCTCTGATGGAAACTGATTCTGATTCAGCACGACACACAGTTCTCAGAAAAACACTGTACAAAACAAGCAAAACTCACCACTTACGATGGGGGAAAAAGGCCTCTTCAAATACTGGTGTGTCCTTAGGTACAGTACTCTCTCATGGTTGTGCCAGTGCTGCCAGCTAAAACATACACACCAACAAAAATATTGGAGTAGCCCAAGACATAGCCAAATACAGTAGAGTGTTGTTTATCCAAAACGTCAGTTATCTGAAAGAATTCCAGTTGGCAAATTTAAATTTTCGCTAGTGCTGTGGTGTTGCAATCTTTGGCTGTATCTTGGGATACTCCAATATTTCTTTTTGTTGGGGTGTGTTTTAGCTGGCAGCACTGGCACTTTTGTGTGGTGTTTTTCTGACTGCTTCATGTGTCATGCTAAATCAAACGTTTTTGATACTAGATTAACTTCTAAAGTATAATTTTTTTTAGTTTTTATATTTTTCAATATATTTATTTTGTTTATAGAAAATAAAGAAATAATTTTTAACGATACAATAGCCACAATTATTATTTTAAAAAGTTTACGTTAGGCTTAACATCGACCAAAATTCAACGCAAAACGACACGCAATGGAGAAAAATTTCAGCTTGGCATAAGTTAATATATTTTTTCATACATAATTGGTTATCCGAAAAATAAGTTATCCGAACAAACGCAGTCCCCAATTGATTCGGATAAACAATGCTCTACTGTATTGCAGTGCCACAGCACAAGTGGAAATTTGAATTTGCCGACTGGAACGCTTTTGGTTAACCGATGTTTCAGTTGATTGGTATTCAGATAATTGATGCTCTACTGTATTTTCCTTTTCTAGTTTGCTAGTATGAGTATGTTTGAGTATGTATGAGTACTAATTAGAAATTGAAAATGTCATAAATATATTTCACTTAATGTTAGTGTGATATGGATTCACAGCCAAACTTATTTTTGGATCATTTTTTTCAAAGAAACTAACCCCAATGGCTTATGATATGTTCTGGTAGCCCAGAGTTACCAAGAGATGTTCAGTGCTTTTATCATACCCCAACAGCAACAGTGCCTTGACTAAACCACTTTTAATGCAAGATGGAACCTTTCCACATATCAGGACATTGCATATAGAAGTTTGCAATATTTCATCTGTAACAGGGTGACTAGTTTGCATTTTCTGTCAATGGACTATCTCATTCTCCACATCTTAATTTGTGTGATTCTTGGTAGGGGAAACATTTTAAAAATGTGGTTAATCAACAATACAACTATAACTCAAAATCTGTTTAATGTGGAAACAAAACTTTTTGAGAATAAAGTTGGAATCCTTGAAAGATAGCATCACAGAAAATTAATTACAGCCATTGAACATGTGTGCATTGCCTTCAGGTTTTGCATTTTTAAAATAAGGATTACATTGAGCAGTATTTCTTACATTGTTAAGGTCTATAACAAAAGTGTCTTGTACAAATAAAATTTTTGTTGCCTGTAGTGTCAAAAGTGTTTTTTGGTTTTGGTACTAAATTTTTTTTATGGAAATGATTTTCATGTGCCTTGAAATATCACTATACCAGATTTGGTTGCAGTTGGACTGCTAAATATCTAGACAGTGTTAAATAGGGGTACTTTGTGATTATTTGATACATTATAAAATTAAATTTTTTATCATAAATCAATATAACAATATAATTATATGTACAACAATAATATAACATTTTTTTTTTAAATTGCAAGAAACAAAAATATCTAAAATTGTTTCAAACTAGTTGAGAAGCATCATAGCTTTTCCTAAAAAAACTAAGAATCAAAGATTGAATCAGTTTTGCTTTTTAGAGTTTTTGAATTTTTTGTAGGGCACTAACAATGTTTTCAATCCTCATTTAAAGTTGAAAAATACATTTGGTGACTGGAATCAATATATAAAATGGTCAGTATTGTCACATGTCTTTTGTAATACAACATATATTTTTGAATTTCACTTCTGCATGACTCTGTCAGGTAGCTGTCATAATTGAATTTATTTCTCATTTTCTCTCACTGAAGGAATAAGAATAGATATCATTGATATATGCATTTTGGAAAATTTTAAAATAATTGTTTTTCCTTTATTTTATAGAAATTTTTACTTTAAAAGTTATAATTGTTTGCTTTGTATCTAGTAGAATCCATTATCATTTTTGTTGATTGGCTATTCCATTCAATATTTTTACTGACTTTGTCACAATTTGTCTTCTGTGTCTAACCATTGTGACAAATCTAGTAAAAATATTGGATAGAATAGCCAATCACCAAAAAACGATAAGTACTTTAAAAGTTCTTTCCTGGAATGTCTTTATATTTTACAGGAGAGAACATCCTGATCAATTTCCACAAGCAGAATCTAAACATCATCCACAACATGAAGGTCCTTACAAACCACATACACCCTTTCAACTTTTTATGGCAGAGAAAATGAAGAAAGCTGAATTTGCTGAGGTAATTTTAATTTTATCTTTATATATTCTTTAAGTTTCAAACTGTATGATAAATAGAATGACAAGTATGGTATAATATACATTAAAAAGTATACACCAGCAATATGATAATTGAAATCAATACACACACAAAAGATATTTGCTTTTCTAATTGTTGTTTTATTTTTTTATTATAATTAAGATAGTATAAAGTTGGGTTCTGAATTGAACATTTAATATTTAGTTATAAAGGTGAGGCTCCATTAGCATAAAATTGAGTGTAAAAACTCTTGCTGCAATTATTTTTAATCATGTGGCCTATTTGTGTTTGTGCTAGGATTGCGGTGGAGATCCGGCTCCACTATCACAGTTTTTATGGCAATGGTACTGTATCTTTCATTTGCACTGTTTATTAGAATAAATACAGTATTAAATGTTAAACTAAGCATTCATATATAATAATAATAATAATAATCTTTATTAGCATAAAGGGAAGTGTCCCTGTTGCAGGGGGCCATACAATGGGATATTATAAATTTTTAGTAATATTTACATAATATACAGGATATCAGTATCAAACAATTTGATAGTTATAATAATATTATTTACATTAACAGTCAGATGTACAATGTTGGTAATATTTAATATACTGGCTCAGATTTACAACATTTTTGTGATTTCAATGAAAAAGTTATACAGACTGTAGAGATCTTTTTTATTCAGTTCAGACTGTTTAAAATATTTCTATAATCTTGAGATGAGTCGTTTTGGAGTATTCGGGAGATGTTAAAAGATTCACGTATCCCTGAAAGACGTTGACATTTTTGGAGTATAATCATTCATTATTTGAATTATTTGTTTATATATTATATCAAAATTTAGGTTAGTTATTTCTGGAATATTGCTGAATCTGGTTTCGATTTCATTAACATAATTCGACATTTTGTAATAAATTCTAGTAATCTTGTTATTTTCATTGTTAAGAACACTGAATTATAAAATTAATCAAATATAATCCAAGTTTCGGTTATACCTATTGTTTCTGAAACATAATTTAATTGAAAGTAATTTGTTGATAGAAATTTATTCTTTAAGCCTTGACTATTCCAATTTAAAACTGTAGTCGGATGTATATTTTTAATAGTTTTTTCTTGGTGAGTTTTATTTTATTGTAAATATCAACTTGATGATTCTGGTGAAGCAGAGAAAGGCTGAAAGGTATCCACGTAGACTAATTTTCCTGTATTAATACTAAAAGTTAATTTATTGCAGTCTATTAGCAAATTGTCGTTACGTAGTTTAACTGATTGGTTTTGGTTTCTTAATTCATAATATATTGGCAATAAGTGTTTTCTTCTTTTACGTGTTTCTTTAGTAAGATCAGGTGCTATCTGTATATTACCCCAGTCTTCCATTAATTTACGTTGTTTCTTTGATATGAAAGCATTATATATTTGATCACGGGTCTGTTTCGTACTAAGTGATAGTTTTATAATCTGGTTGGTTGATTTGGTTATTTGAATTATATCTAGGATATCCTCCTGAGTTACATTATTTAGGTTTAATGTTAAGTTGATGAATTTAAGAATTTCTGGTTTGGAAGTGCTTTTTGACGAAGGATAGTTGTATAATACTATATTATTATAATGACAGTCATTAATTAGAGTATCCATTTTATACTGTATCAGTTCCTTTTCAGATTTTAAATTGTCAATTTGAATTTTTAGATTATCTATTGAACTTTCCATTTTTTCAAATTGAATTTTATTTTCCCGTATAGTACCATGAATTAAATTCAGTTCTTCTTTTATATATTCCATTTGTGCAGATAGTTTATCATTAGAAGTATTAATCAATTCAGATATCCTATTCCATAGATCTGCTGTTAAAGTGTCATTCGAGCTTATTGGAGTAGATGAATTAATTACATTGGACTCACCTGAAAAGCTTTGTAGATTTTGTTTAGATATATCCGTATGTGAACCATTGTTTGCCGTAGACGATTCCTGTAATTCTTTATCCATTGATAAGTTGTAGTCCGTTATAAGCTTGAAATTAGATGTACCTGGTTGCGTCTTTTTGCTTTCCGGTTTGCTTCTATTAGTTGACAGTCTACCACATTTTTTTGGTGAACGTTGCATACTTATTAATTATTAATTTCCTCGAACTTGGTTATTTCTTATTAGTATTAAACACTTTTGGTTAATTCAGATAATAAAATTGAAAAAATACACTAAATTCTAGATTTACGTTGAGGTGTAAAAACAAAGTCACCAGCAGCGCTCACGGTCAAGTCACGCCCCCCTAAGCATTCATATATTATAATTTAAGATAGGCATCGGAAATAATTAAGAATTACAAATTATGATTTTTTTTAGATTCAACATACAGCAGTATCATAATTAAGGAGGTGTTCAGAACTCTCTTTATTAACTTTTGGGCAATTTCAATCAAATTTGGTATGTGTACTGCCCTGAGTAAATGGTTTTGTTTTTGGGAAAAAATTTATACTTCAAGAATCATTTTATACAGCAAAATTTTTGCTGCTGTTCCTTTAATGTGTTGTACTGTACATGTTTTCTAACAAATTTCAAGAGTAATAAACAAAATATAATAATTATATTTCAATTAGAGATGTAAATGCGAATTGATGATTATCAAAGATATGGCTCTGTGTGTTCCATATCCATGTTCTAAAAACTGCATTTGCTATACCATACACTTGATGGCAGAAAGCAACTGACCTCTGTGGAGTTGTCACACGTGAAATGCCTTGATAAACAAAGTTCTTTAGGTACAATTTATTTGCAGTCTAGTCAAAAAAGTTTAATTTATTCAGGTTATTTTATGCAATTGGTTTTTAAAAATTTTTTTCCATTAGGCAGGTTTGACTTTTAGAGGGACCATTTTAGATAGACAATGTAAGATATTTCTATTGATATATCTGACAATGTTTATGTCTAATGAGATGATGATATTTTTACAGAAATTGTCACTTTTTTAAAGTTGGTTTATAATTTTATTTATTGATAGATAAAGGTGTGCATATGATCTAGTCTCTTCTTATTGAGAAATAAATTGTATTCATAAATTGCGAAATACTGTATTTCTGCACATACAAGAGCAAACTCATGCCTATTCTCAGTATAAGAGTTTGTTTTTGATGGGGCAAAATTGGCATTATATTCTGCAAAATACTTAAAAAACTTAGTATTGGAAGCATTTTTTTTATGTTGGTTTTTTTATTTTTGTTATTGAGTAGTTAAGTGGATCAGTACATGAACATTTAATTTACATTGAGACAATAGTGCAGTGCTTGTGTAAGCTAACACAAGCTGGCACATAAACAATCTTTTAAGTGAATCAGGACACATTTCAAAAATGAGAAAACAAGAAATTTACACTTGTAAGATCCTGCTTAATGCTGATTCAATATAACGTGGACTGCTCGAAGCCAAAAAACGCGCAAACTTTATGCCCATTCAAATTAATGCGGCATTTCATTGATTCATATATAATATGATTATTCCAAAACATGAACCAATTGGCAAAAGGTAGCAATTCGTCATAGTGCCACACTTTCCTTAAATCTATGTGTGTTTTGAGCAATTTTGTAAAAAATATAACATCATGGATGCCTTAGCAAGAATTAACTGATAAATGCATGAATGTAGTGTGGAAGAAGTTATGGCTGGAAGTATCCAAGAATTCTGAACGAGAAGAGCCTATTGCTGTATCATTAAGTTGACCAAATTTTCAACCTAATCAATACAGCAGGACTAGATGTAAATGAGCAGGATATTGGGGAGTTACTGCAGGTTTCTGGTAAGAGCCTTACCAACGACAACCTTCAAGAACTGACAGAACAAGGAATTCATGTAGAACTGGAAAATTATGACTCTGAAAACAAAGAACCCCAAAGAATTTCTCTACAGATTTCCTTAGTAAAAGTTTGGTAACAATAATCGAAATTGTCGATCAAATTGTAATGAATGGTCCAGATTTTGAAAGGAGTGCAAAAGTGAAACGAGGCATTTTGGATGCGATCTTCTGCTATGGACATTTGCTTAAGAAAAAAGTGACAAATAAAACTACACGACTTTATTGCAAAAGACAAGAATTTCAGAAAAGCCGAGACCTTCATCACGAAATACGAACTTTACATTTCTGTGTGCATGTTTGTGTTATTTAACATATATTATTGTGCAAATTAATATAAAAATAACTTAAAATTATAGTAAAATTAGCTTGTTTTTGGTCACGTGTTCCTTCTCCCTAGTTACTCTGTTAAAATGACCTCATTTAATGCTATTTCGCTTAGCGTTTTGTTGTCTAGGAACGCATTCCCTGCATTAAGCAGGATCTTATTGTATATCTGAGGAACAGAGGAACATTGTATTGGTGAGGAACTTACCTAGATTCATGCTTCTGCATTTGATTAAATATATTTTTATTGCTACAATGGAGATATTTTTCAACAATATTAATTATAATAATNCTTAATATACAAAACAATATACAGTAGAGTGGCATTTATCTGAATCAATTGGGGACAGGGTTTGTTCAGATAACTTATTTTTCAGATAACCAGTTATGTACAACAAATATATAACAAATACTTTAGAAGTTAATGTAGTATGAATTCAGCACAACACAGTCTGACTGGAACGCTTTCGGTTAATCAACGTTTTGGTTGATTGGCTTTCAGATAGACGACGCTGTACTGTATATATTGTCTTTAAAATTATAATTAAAAATATAATACTCCCTGGCTTCTAAATACAGTTTGTTAATTATTTTCTAAATTTCTATTTACAATTAAATAAATAAATTTACTCTTTAAGAGTAAATTTATTTATTTTGTTGTTTTAGAATATTTTTATACTTCTTATTAAATGCTAAAATTTTACAAGTATTCTGAAAATAAGCAAATTTTAATTAATATGAATACTTTGAGACGGATTTTCTTTCAAAATTATTAATACATTTTTCTTTAAATTTAAATTGCTCTTAATAATTCTTTAAAAAATTATTATTTAATTTTAAATATTTTATTTAAATTCTACATGCAGGCAATGTTATTTAATTAACAAGAATAAATAGTGAAAAAAATTATTATATTATTAGTAAAACATTAACTTACAATAAAAGAGAATAAAATTTTAAATTTTATCAGTTTTTTTTACTTATTCTGTCATTTATGCTGTTAATCCTAATATAACGGCATATCTATATATTTACTATTTCAATTGTAACATTTTTATTACCATGCTTCCAAACTAATATGTTTGTTTGCAAACTGTATCTTTCATCAGAACATTAATATTTGTCCCTCTGTGGAAGATTACAACATTTGGTGATTTTAGATTTCTTTCCTGTTGAAATGAAATGTTTATGTAATGTTTCTTTCCATTTTGTAGTTGGTTATTATTACTAGAATAGTTATTAGAATATAATTATTACAATTGCAAATAATAACAAACTCTTAATTCTTCTTTTTTAATCTATTTATTTTCTCTTACTTTGGGTATTTTAAAATATTTGTATTTTTATATATTTTATTTTAAATATTTCAAAATAATTGACAAATACAAAGACATTTGGCATTTGTTTCTTTGCAATCTTTCTTTTCAATACTTAAAATTGTTAACATTCTTATTCTTTAATGAATTCTCAAAGTATTTCACACAAATACTACATTGTTCTGTTATAAAGAATGTTTTTAAGATTATCTAGAAAATTGGATTTATCAGTATCTTTCTAATAAAAAAATTGAACAGTGGTTTTGAAGTTTAACTTTGAAATAATAGTCAGAAAAATTTAGTACAAGAATAAAAACAATGGAGAAATATCTAAATGGTAATGCCAATAACATAGACATGATATACTAGAAGTTAGAAATATTGAAATTTGGTATTTACTTTTATGTTGTTTTTGAAACCGTGTTTTGCAAATATATTGGACTTCAAACTCACATTTGAGTTATAAATAAGCACTTGGCTTTATTTCCATCATTTTTAGTTGACTAAAAATGATGGAAATAAAGCCAAGTGTTTATTTATAACTCAAATGTGAGTTTGAAATCCAATATTTACTTTTAGTTAAATTTCCTCTGTCACAAGACTTATCATCAAGATGCATTGTAAATAGTTAATTCTATCACAAGTGAAAAATTAAATTGTTTTCTTGCAGCATCAGTGGAATTGATGTCGAAGAGTTAAGATGATTTATTAAATATGAAAACCCTTATTAAGATTTTAAACTTTTTAAAATAGTGTTTCTGAAATCTCAAAAGTGTCTCACTTGATATATACATATTTAATATGATGAAATTATAATATAAGGTCAAGAATTACTTCAGATACCATGATGTAAGCTTAGTAAATCATAACAAAATTCATCAGATTTAAGAATCAGATTAAAGTTGATGCAATGTGAATTTTATAAATCTTTTCATTTTTATATGCCTTTAATTTCTTTGTAAAGTTATTATTATGATGTAAACAGTAATTTAATTTTTATTTCTTCAAAAGGCTGAGGACTATCAAATAACATAAAGTAACAAATGTTTAATTGATAGAATATAGTTATAGATACATTGCAGCAATGTAAACAAAAGTATTTGAATAATTCTATAAATAAGTAAAATTTAATAATTTATAGATTAGATCTCAATACAGATAACTTCTATAGTAATGTAATCTACAAATCTTGATAATGTATACTGGCTTAATATACAAAACAATATACAGTAGAGTGGCATTTATCTGAATCAATTGGGGACAGGGTTTGTTCAGATAACTTATTTTTCAGATAACCAGTTATGTACAACAAATATATAACAAATACTTTAGAAGTTAATGTAGTATGAATTCAGCACAACACAGTCTGACTGGAACGCTTTCGGTTAATCAACGTTTTGGTTGATTGGCTTTCAGATAGACGACGCTGTACTGTATATATTGTCTTTAAAATTATAATTAAAAATATAATACTCCCTGGCTTCTAAATACAGTTTGTTAATTATTTTCTAAATTTCTATTTACAATTAAATAAATAAATTTACTCTTTAAGAGTAAATTTATTTATTTTGTTGTTTTAGAATATTTTTATACTTCTTATTAAATGCTAAAATTTTACAAGTATTCTGAAAATAAGCAAATTTTAATTAATATGAATACTTTGAGACGGATTTTCTTTCAAAATTATTAATACATTTTTCTTTAAATTTAAATTGCTCTTAATAATTCTTTAAAAAATTATTATTTAATTTTAAATATTTTATTTAAATTCTACATGCAGGCAATGTTATTTAATTAACAAGAATAAATAGTGAAAAAAATTATTATATTATTAGTAAAACATTAACTTACAATAAAAGAGAATAAAATTTTAAATTTTATCAGTTTTTTTTACTTATTCTGTCATTTATGCTGTTAATCCTAATATAACGGCATATCTATATATTTACTATTTCAATTGTAACATTTTTATTACCATGCTTCCAAACTAATATGTTTGTTTGCAAACTGTATCTTTCATCAGAACATTAATATTTGTCCCTCTGTGGAAGATTACAACATTTGGTGATTTTAGATTTCTTTCCTGTTGAAATGAAATGTTTATGTAATGTTTCTTTCCATTTTGTAGTTGGTTATTATTACTAGAATAGTTATTAGAATATAATTATTACAATTGCAAATAATAACAAACTCTTAATTCTTCTTTTTTAATCTATTTATTTTCTCTTACTTTGGGTATTTTAAAATATTTGTATTTTTATATATTTTATTTTAAATATTTCAAAATAATTGACAAATACAAAGACATTTGGCATTTGTTTCTTTGCAATCTTTCTTTTCAATACTTAAAATTGTTAACATTCTTATTCTTTAATGAATTCTCAAAGTATTTCACACAAATACTACATTGTTCTGTTATAAAGAATGTTTTTAAGATTATCTAGAAAATTGGATTTATCAGTATCTTTCTAATAAAAAAATTGAACAGTGGTGGTGATGATATCTTCTGAATCAAATGAGATGTATCAAAGCATAAACTTTTAATTGTAAAATTTTTATTTTAATAAAATTAAAAATATTTTTCTTTNATATTTTTTTTTTTTTATATAAAATTATAATTTGAAATGAATTATAATTATATAAAACTGATTTTCATTCAATTACATTAAATTTGAAATTTTTATACAGTATATTATCATCAATATAAAAAATTGATATTAAAATATTAACATTTGTATTATTTGATATTATATTGATTGATTTTGTTACATTAATGTATTGGAATCAAATTCTATTCTATTAATTAAAATTATATTAATAAATTGATAAATTATTACCATTGCTTAATGCAATATGATGCTTATTTTATTAATGAAAGATAATTTTAAACATTTTTTAGTAGTATTCAGCTATTTTAATTTTGAATATTTTTACAATTTGATATATAATTTTTTAATAATTAATTATTGATTAGACTGAACTTGGTGAATATTCTCAAAGTCATCCAAGCTTCAAACCTGATACAATTAGATCCGTCCTAAGTAAAGCTGAAAAAGAATTAAAGGATCGTTTCGATGGAAAACCAGACCGACCTCCAAAGTAAGAAATAAATATATATTTTATTTAATGCATTAAATAGAAAACTCCTGTTTGTGGAATAAAATCAATTTGGATATTAATTTAATTGGAAAAATTGTGTGCTATATTAATGTAAACATGATACACACCACTAAATTCCGAAATTGACATTGACTAGTCATGTTTGATTTTGTTGTCTGAAGTGATACTGAATTAGTTACAGGAATGTCATTAATCAGTTCATAAACTTAACATTAACATTCAAATTATCAATGTGTTAATGAAATCATCATTTAAGAAGAACCAGGTTCTAGAGTTCTACATGTAATATCAAACTTAAAAATGTAACTGTACATTGTAATATCAGTTATCCAGCCATTAACATCTAATATGTTCAATAATCTAAATAATCTAGTGTTGCCTTGTCTCATATGAAGAATAGACCTATTATAGATATTTTTATGAGACATTGATAAGTACTGTATCTCTATATACAGTTTGTACATCAAAAATAAGTGTATGAGTTTGTATGTGTGTGATTATTTTATCATAGTTACATGTATGTATTTTTGATGATTATTTTCTACTCATTTGACAATTTTTTGTTCAAGAATCTGGTCACACTGCTCAGTAACATAAATTGGATTACCAAGATCACAAGATATTTTAGTTTTGTGCAGGCTGATGTACCAAAATGTATAATGAGAAGGGCTAAATAAAGTTGTAAATGCCTCATGGATGTAATTTGATCCTGGAATTATCTCAGTATTCTTTTAATAAGGCAACTTAGTATATTCAAGTATCAGTAATTACAGTAATGTTAATGAAACTATAAGTGATTAAAGCAACTTTTTTATTNTCAAAAAATTGAACAGTGGTGGTGATGATATCTTCTGAATCAAATGAGATGTATCAAAGCATAAACTTTTAATTGTAAAATTTTTATTTTAATAAAATTAAAAATATTTTTCTTTACTAGAGAAAGTTATTAGATTTTAAAAAATACATTTTTTGTTGGCACTGTAAAAATATTAATAAATAATAGCATTAATTTGAAGTAGTAAAATTATTCTAATATAAAATGCTAATTTGTAAATTAATGAAGCTGGTACCATAATATATCAATTAATCCAAAACAAAATACTGTTTTCAAGTTACTAAAAAGTTATATTTAATGTGAAACATTTTTAGTCTAATTTAGACCATCCTCAGCATTGAACAAATAAAGTAGAATAATTTTTAGAATTTAATCTGAAATGTTAAAATATTAAAAATCATAATTTCAAATAATTCTGATATTTGTTCTAAACAAATCATTTTTGTTTCACAGTTTTTTGAAAAGTGATATTTGTTGGCACTACTACAATTATTTTGCATCATTTCAAGAAAATGTACTGTTATTTATTTCTTGGAAATAGTTAAACAAGCCATTTTTCTTTTTACAACACATCTACCAGAAAAACAATGAAACTTGGCACCATAATTCTAAATTTAAATTGCAAAAAGTATTTTATTCTGTTTTTGTGTTCAATGTTCAAGATGCCTAAATTAGTCTGAAAAGATTCACATAATTTTTGATAACCTAAAAATAGCAGTGTTTGTTGGATTTAATAAATTGCCCACATATATAGTTATATTTTGTTCAGATGAATAAATTTGTGTTAATTTTTATTCATTCTACCAACTTATAACTCTATATTTACCAATACCTTTTGATAAAGCTCTTTTACAAGCACAACCTACTTCACTCAAAAGCTAGTTAATGTTTTCCTCCTTAAATTATTAATGTCTACTAAATCTTCCTCATAGTAATAGGACTTGTTATACTGGTGTAATCTACCAAAAATGGGAGAATCAGTAGTCAGAGAAATTTTGTTTTAACCTTTTGACTACTAATTCTTTTTTTTTTTTTTTTACGCCAGCATAATAAGTTTTATTATTATAAGGAAGTCCTAGTAGACATTAACAATTCAAAAATAGTTCAAAATCTGTTTTAAAAATCTACATTTAATGACTTAATTTTCACAGAATACATTTTTATTGAAAAATAGTCATTAGGAAAAGTTTTGAAAATGAATAACAGTGGAACTTTGTTTCAGATTAGTGTAATAAGAAAGTTTAAGATTTATTCAACTTATTTTCTAATCATTTAATTTAAAATGGTCATATTAACTTTTTAAACTTCTTCACCAACTATCAAAATCAATATAATATAATTGGAATATTTATTCCTAGATNTCAGAAAAAGTCGTAGGGAAAGCAGTTAAACAAGAAAAACTTTTCTAAATCATTTATTTTATCGTTAGGTATTATTATAATAATAGACAGATGTCATCGTCTCTCGAAATACAATCTTTCTTATTTCGCTGTTGATAGCCCGACACGTGTTCTGCAGACATCTTGTATTTTCTCGCGCGCGTGGGATTGTGGGATCTCTGTTATGACTGGATCTAGTTTCGAGAACTCTCTCGAGTCGTTCGTTTTAGTCGAGATTGAAACGGTCGATGGAGGTTGCACTAGGCGAACAGGGTATAAGGCTCTAGTTTAGTAGTGTTATAGAGTATAATACGTATATTTTAATATATTTTTTAAAAGAAACAGAATCACCGAGAAATGTTACGTGTGTTTAACAACGGGTTCGGAAAACTTTGAAAATGTTAACAACGGGTCCGGCCGAACCTGTGCGAACCCGCTGAATATCACCACTGGGTGTAGGCACCCAATCTGGAGACGAGCCCATCAATAGTCGAGTGGATAAAACCACTGAAAGTGTAGTTAGTTACGGATTTCGCGCCTCACCACCGGGCAGCCCATGAAGAGGTTTCCAGGTTTCTTCACTTGTTTAACACCCAAAAGGCAGTTTCCCAGAAAAAGTCTGGGGACATCCCCTTTGGCAGATCATCGATGTGTTGCGTTGACTTAAGCCATCCATTCAATCCAATAATTTGACAGTATATTCGGAACAATAGACTTCAGATCTTACATTAAACATTATTTGCAGTACTGTTTTGCCGTTTTCTTTCTTTGAAAATAAAAAATTAATCTAATTTATCATCAAAACGATTAACATCTAGGACCTATATCATTATTATAAATCACTTTTAAATTGTTAACGAAATTCTCTTTCATATCATCAGTTGGACTGAAACCAAAATACATCTTAAAATACTTTATTGTATTTTAGTTTACTTTATATTATCTAACAAGATCTGATATCATATCACAAATGAAACCAAAAGTATTGAAAATATAGTTTTTTCTTAGAAAAATATCAATAAAGAAATTTACTTTCACTATTTCTTTCGTCATAATAATAATAATAATTTCGTTAACTTTTCTTGCATTTTCAAATTTACCACAGAATTTACCCAGTTGTTAGAATATTGATCGGGATCAGTTAACTCCGTTCTGTTCAAATGAAAAAAGTTAATCGGATTCAAAGTCTTAATCGGAGTTAACTTTCCTCGTGTAAATGTAGTTCTTTTTTTTAACTTTCTGCCCTGTGGGCACTAAGCGGGACTCTTTTAGCAAGCCCATTATGGGTTCCGCCAGGCCCACAATAGGGCATCTGGGTGGTGAGGGACGGGACCCGACATATCCAGACGGACCCTCCTGAAAAATTCCTGGGAATTTTTCGACCCGTCCGGATTCGATCCTCGGTTCCCCAGAGCGATAGGCTGCCACCTTAATCCCTCGGCCACCCGGCCGTCCGTGTAGTATTAGGGAATTCGCGAGAATCTCTAAGACTTGTTTTTAAAGTACCAGAAAGCTCCTAATTATGTAATTATTATATATTTACTGTTTATGTCAATAAATTAATTTTTGATGTATTGTGATGAGTAATTAGTATTTTCCCGTTCAGTGATTAAGTTAAGACGTTACTTTTTATTTATTAACACCAAGCGCGGTTAGTTAGTTGCTAAGCAAATTAGCTGGAAGATAAGTTGAGTGTTTGATATCGGTTTAAAATCCAGTTGTAACTAAATTTTCCAAAAACAATTTTCACGCGGACACAATAATCCATTGTTTTGATTTCAGTTGTAGATGTGAAACATCCTCAACTGAAACTAAAAAAAAAATCAATTGCGTTTTTGATTTTAACTCGTAATGAAGTAGAAATGAAATACTACAAATAAAACGTTTAAAATTATAATTAACATTTAAGTCTAACGAACTTATTATTATTTTTTTAATACATAAGTGTAGTTATGAGACAATTAATTGGAATCAGAAAAATCGGGATTTTTCCAGGAATTGGGATCAAACAAATTTCACCCTGATTTCCTATTCTTAAAAATGATTCTTCCACATTTTATAAGAAATTAATTATTTGTTTCAGTCAAAGATTCAAAATTATGATATTAACAATTAAATATTAGTTTATTGGAAACTTTCATGTTGACAAAGCAGAGAGTATGTGAGGTTCCATACATGAGGCGACATATGTCAAGTTCAAGTAAAATTAATAAATTTTGAGTGCATTCTATATACATAATAACTTAAATTTTTTCTGGAAATGTTTGNCATTTAGATTTCTGAATTTTATAAATGTAAATTGTCTTCTGTTTACAAAAGCAATTATAAATTTTTTTTCTATTTTTTCCTTCATCCAAAAATTATCAATTAATATTTTAGAATCAGTTTTTTTTAATAGTCAAAGAAGATTCTGCTAGTGTTTTTAAAAGGTATCAGTTAAACGAAGCATAAACTAAAGAGCATCTTTAATATTGTAGAGAAATAATTTCATCCATAAAAGTCAAATACTATTGTACAAAACAATATTTGACTTTTGTTACTGCATGTAACTATTAATACATACATGTATTTTCTCTTCATTTGATTTTACTGTTATCTTCAATACAGCAATTGCTTATTTATTTATTAAAAAATAAGTGGATGAAAGCTCATACTTTAATACAAAAATATTAAGATTTATATTTTCAAAATCATATCAAATACTTTTAAAAATCGATCTTAAAATAATTTTCCTTAATAAACAAATAAAATTGACAAATCTAATTTTTTTAAATTCATGTATATTATTTGTGTGTGTGTACTTTACCATATAATTTTTCATCCACTAATATCAAAAGTATTTAATTTACTGAATTAAAGAACTATTACAAATTATTGAATATGCCAGTTCAAAAGGAAACAAAGTATGTAAGAGAAAATAACTTCAGTTCACAGTTGATGAGTAGTGGAAAGGAATCAAAGAAATAACAAACATAATATTCATTAATGTACATTGTATCCAAAAAATATCTTCACTAAATAGCAATTTTTAACTCATTCATTTAATAGAATTCATAAATTTTTATTAAAATTCTGATTTTCTGATTTCAAAAATCTTGCTTGTATTATATGCATATTGTCTCATCTTAATTATAGCCAAATAAGAAAGAAACCGAGTCTGAAAGTTCAGATGATTCATCTGGTGACGACGATGACGAAGAAGAAGGCTCAGAAAAATCTGGAGAGGATGAAGAATCCGGTTCAGGATCAGATGATTCTGGAAGTGATTCAGATGATGACGATGATGATAATGAGGATTCAGATGAAGAGAAGAAGGTAAGCTCTCTCATATTGACAGCATAAAAGTTAAAATATTTTTATCTCAATTATCAAAATTTGTTGTTTTAGGAAGGTGAAGAAAGTAGTTCTGGTGACTCTGACAGTGATAGTGACAGTGAAAGTAGTAGTGATAATAGCAGTGAATCTGGTTCAGAAAGTGAAAACTGAACTAGAATTGAAGCTGTATTTAAAAATGGCATGCTCACTCCACTGAAGAATTGGTAAAAATTTGTCCTCAGTTTTTATTCCCTAACCACAAGTGCCTGGTTGTATGGCTGAAACTTGGTTAAAAGAAATATATTCAAAACCAAATCACCAAAGAGAATTATTTGATAATTAAGATTTAATGGTAGCAGGGTAAGATCAGGATATCCTATAAAGAAAAAAAACAAAAGCAATGGTTTTCAAATCATTATAAAAAATAATTAATGTTAAAATATTTTAATGTTTATTAAATTTAGATTTTTTTCTGAAATGGATTGTTTTGCCGATAACAATTATAGCGCAGAAAATAANTATTTTTAAATGATTAGCGAATAAAAAATTAGCTTTACTATATTCAAAATTCAATTTTAAAATACATATTTATATAAATGAAAATTTATAATTACAAATTTAGGCTAATGAACAATATAGAGAAAAGTATGCAGCATATGTAAAGAGTTTGCCTGAAGAAGAAAGAATAAAATTAGAAAGTGAAAATAAAAAGGGTGGTAAGAAAAAGATTGTTAATGAAAATACATCATCAGAAAATGATGATAAAAAGACAACTACAAATGAGGAAGAGGAAGATGTCCAAAATAGACCGAAAAAACCTCTATCTGCAATGTTTTACTTTCAACAAGAAAAACTAGATTCATTCCGTGAGAAGAATCCTGACATTTCAAAACAAGAAGTAATGAGACTTCTAGCTAGAGAATACAGTGAGCTACCTGAAAAGAAAAAGGTAAATTATATTAATACTTAATAAATTATATAATACTTAATAAATTATATTAATAAAAAGGTAAATTATATTAATATTATATAATTAGTATTATACATATAACCTATGATTCAATTATATATAACAATAATTATGAACTTAAATTATATACATGGATATTTTTAGGAAAAATATAAAAAGTTAGCTGAAGCAGCTAAGAAACAAAGTAATGAAGAATCAAAGAGGTGATAATTGCTAGTTATTGATTGTAATATATTAACATTTTAAAATTATGATCAGTCAAATAGTATAAATCAAATTTCTAATAAATAGAGAAATAAATTATATATATATATATATATATATATATATATATTGTTTTGTTTTTTAAAATTACAGTAAAGATGAAGTTCATGAAACAGGAAGTCGAAAACCTCAGTTATTTAAGGGAGAGCCAAAGAAGCCTCCACAGTAAGTTATATTGATAAGTATATAGACTTTGATGTAATACTCTCATAAAGTACTAATGAATACTAATGAACAGATCTTTTCTATAAATATTAGAAAACTATTCAGCATTGGTAAAATAATAAGTGTAGGATTTTTGTATGTGTTTCAGACAACACTGTTTAAGTTTGGACTTGTGTATAGATCCTATTACTTTCTATAATTTTTATTGTATGAAGTTCTGTTTTATTATTTGTTTCTGATTAAACTGTTGTTTGTTTTATTAGGAGTGGATACAGCTTATTTACAACAGAAATGCTAGGTGCTGTTACTGATGTTGATGCTAAGAATAGAATGGCTGTGACAGCACAGAAATGGAATGCTTTATCTCAGAGTGAGAAAGATAAATATCGAAAGAAAAGTCAAGAAATGATGAAAAAATATAATAAAGATATTGAGAAGTTTATAGCTGTATGTATTATTCTAAATTATTTACTTTAATAATCTTAAAGTTCCATTAGGTTTTATATATGTGGGGGTTAGATGAGTAACGTTCCTAAGCTGTTAAGAAAATAAATGAGGGAGTGTGGGGGAAACGAGTAAGGGGAGACAACAGTTGGTGATGGCGCAAAAAGGATAAAAGACATTATGACAGAGCATCGTCATTCTATCCATAAGATGGTTTGAAGACGGTTGGAAGATTTAGCTGAATGCTGGATTATTGTTACTTCTATTTCTATCATTAAACCTACAAATTTTGGGGGCTCTGCTGGATATTGAGAGAAATTCATACAAGAACTTTTAGAAGGGCAATAATGGAATTCAGACAAGATGGTGGAGTTAGTGACTCTTTGGTGAACAACAAAGAACTGACTGTGTGTCTAAGGACAATAGGGTGACAGATGTGAAACATCTTAAGTGTGCTGATTTGAAAATTAAACTAGGATGACAGAAATTGAAAACGACAGGTAGCAAGAGAGAGTTGGTACAGAGATTGGAGGCGACACTTTTGATTGAGAATGCCAGAGATGACGATGCTGACGAAAGTGAGGACGAAGATAGTAATATTATGCAATATAAAAATGAGTACTCAGCCAATGTTTACCTTTAGAGATGTTGATGAATTCCTTGAAACGTTCAGTGGTAATGATCGGAAGAATGTCGCTAAGTGGATCTCCAATTTCAAAGACATGGCAGAAATGTGTAACTGGAATGGCATGCAGAAGATAATTTATGCAAAACAACTACTCAGGGGTTCAGTAAGAATGTACGTAAACTATGAACAGTGTGCTAAATCATTGAAAGCATTAAAAGAAACTCTTTGCACCAAATTTTCTCCAAAACTGAACAGTAGGAAGATTCACGAGCAACTTTCAACAGAAGTGAAGCATCAGAGTGAAACTTATCAGGAATATATGTATCAAATGATTGAAATTTCATCATAAGATTGAGAAAGAATTGGTAATACAATATATTATTGATGGAATTCAGGATGAACAAGTAAGTAAAACAGTGCTTTATTTTGCTACTACTTTCAAAGAATTTCAACAAAAGTTGCAAATTTACAAAAACATGAAATCAAGTCATAAGCTAAATGCTAAAATGACAGTGAGATTCAAGAAGCTAAGACATGAGATTAAGCCTAATAATTCTTATGAAGATGAAAGATGTTGCTATAACTGTAGCGGGAAAAACCATGTGAGTAAAAGTTGCCCGGAGAAAGATAAAGGAATGAAATGTTTTAACTGTAACAATTTTGGTCATATTTTATCTCAATGCCCTCAAAATGTTGAGAAAAGAAGTTATGAAGTAAAGGGAAAAGAATTTAAGTCAAAGCCTGTAAAAGAAGTCAAAATAGGAGAAGTGGCTTTACAGCACTTATAGATTTAGGAAGTAATGTGAACTTAATAAGAGCTGATGATTATGTAAAGATGGGTGCACCGAAATTAACTGGAAATTCATTGGAATTTTATGGAGTAAGTGAGCAAAAGAGTTCTATACTGGTAAGTTTTTGGACTGTAGTAATGTTGACGAGACCAATTTTTATTTCCTATAGATGTGGTTCCTAGTTAATTCCTTGCTTATCAGTTATCGTTGGGAGCAGACTTTCTGAAACAAGTTCATATCAGTTTAAAAGAAGGTTGTGTTGAGAAAATTATCAAAGCAAAAGATGCAGAAGTAATCCTTTCAGACGTATACAATATTGATGCTGTGTAGACACTGGTGGTGTTGACTTGAGCCATATCAGTGATGCAAAATATAGAGGAGAGTTTCTAGATCTAATAAAGAACTACAAAGCAGTCAGAGAACAAGAAACGGGGATCAAAATGAACATTATCTTAAAAAAATGATGTTCCAGTTTGTCAACATCCAAGATGGCTATCTGTTAGTGAGAAGGCTGAAAGTTAATAAGGAGATGGAAGAATGGTTACACAAAGCATCTGAACAACCCACAGAAGATGAAGGAATCAGAAGGGATATACCTGAAACAGAGTATAAAAAGCAGTCTCCAGAAAAATCAAAAAAAGCAATTTTTAAGCAAGAAAATATTCCTGAAAAGATGGATTTTGTTGCAAGTTCTCTACACCAGGAAACAGAACCAAGTAAAACTGAAGCTTCAAAACAGGTCAAATTGAAGAAAACAAACATAGTATCATAGCTAGGTGCAAAAATGCACAAAAGGAAGGTAGTGAATTAATGGAGATAATTAATAAGATAGAAATGGAAAAGGCAAATGGTTATGAAGTAAAAAGTGGGATTCTGTACAAGGAAATGGATGGGGAGTCATTAATGGTGGTTCCCTTACAAATGCAAGCCGATATTAGAGTCACAACCAAGGTCACTTTGCCGTTAAGAAAACCGAAGCACTGCTGAAAAGAGACTATTGGTTCAAGAATATGAAGAGTAAAATTGAGAAAGAAAAGGTTCTGTGCTTTGAGAAAGAAAGGGATGAAATTAGAGCAATGGCAAAAGAGAACATTAAGAAACTGCAAGCAGAGAACAGGAAAATGTTTAACAAGAAAAGGAAATACCCCCACCAAATTCTTAGTCAGTGATCTGGTAGCTGTAAGAACACAGTATGGGCCCAGCTTAAAAATCCATCCAAAGTTTTTAGGGCCATACAAAATCAGAAAAGTTTTAAGAAATGACAGATATTTAGTTGAGAAGGTAGTTGATCACGAAGGCCAATGCAGAAGTCTACTTCTGTGTTGGGGATGATGTCAGCTGTCAAGATTGCCGAATGTGGTCGTTAGATGAGTAATATTCCTAAGCTGTTAAGAAAATAAATGAGGGGTTGCTGGGGAGACAAGGGAGACGAGTAAGCGGAGATGACAGTTGGTGATGGCACGAAAAAGAAACAAAAGATGTTACAAATGCCAGAACATCATTGTTCTATTCATAAGACAGGTTGAAGAAGACAGTTGAATGATTATTGTTACTTCTATTTTTATCATTAATCCTACATATATATNTAAATTTACACATAAATTATGTGATTAACATTAAACAATCTTATTTATTGCAACAACTTAAACTATGACACTTTGAATTTCACAGAATCCCTTGCTTTTACAACTGCATTTATTCGTTAATCACTTCTTTTTGCAATGACAGCATGTATAGCCTTATCCCCCACTTTTCGAGCTACCTGCAGCTGCTTCTCTAAGCAATATTTCTTGAGAAGAAATTTCATCTATGGAAAGTAACTTTTCTTTACCAATTATGAACTGATTGTGGGTATAAAGCTGCTTGAGGGTACCCTTTTTATTTGCTAATTTACAAAAGTCAGAGTCTTCTATTCCAACAACAACCGCCAACACATTTTGGGCGTCTGTACGGCTGTGGTGGACATTAGGAACTTGTATTCCTATGGTTTCACCAATTTGAGCAGAAGGAAACAGTGAAGAATTTGGCGACAGACTGTCACCTCTCTGTTGACATTGGCTTCTCAGGTGTCGTTTCGATCTCCACCAAAGCTTATCTGTGCTTGTCGACATACACTGGCGATTGTTTGAATGTATAATAATATAACCAAATATTCAGTCTTTCATTAACGTATCTTGTATGTGTCGACATTCTTTAACTTTGGTCTTTCACAGCTACATATATATATATATATATAAATTTTTGAATTCTAAACATTTTAATCAATTTTACATAAATTAATTTCCTGCATTTTTTATATTTTATTAATTATAGGGTTTATCAGAAGCTGAACGAGAGGAATATTATAGACTTAAAAGTAGAACGAAGGGTTCTAGGTCTGCTGCAAAAGCTGCAAAAGATCAAGCAGCTACAAAACAAGGACAAACCAAGGTATGATTATTTTCATAAAAAGTCTGAATGAATATTGCACAGACTCTTATTGTGGTACACTTTCAATAGACCACACTACTTCATTCACAATAAATGTATGTATATAAAGTATGTATATAAAGAATAGCAATGGATCAACAAAATTTTCATTCTATCAGGTGTATCAAAAGTTCATTGTATTATATTTCATCTTATCATACGGTTTCAGATTCTTTATAAAACAAGTACAATACAAAATATTAAGGTTATCATAACATTGCATAGCAAAATAATTTATTATATTTTGATTAATTTAAAATTTAATGTTTTGTGTAATGAACATTATTATTGAATAGTGAGTGAATAAATTGCATTTGTCACAAAAATATAATTTAAAATATTGATCTTTTGAATAAATCATATATTACAAAACAGTTTCATAATCTTGTTCTCAATTTTGCTGTTCATTGCCAGTTACAAAAGAATTGATCAATCCAGATAAAAATGTCAGATATCCTTAACTAAATTAATAAATGAAACTTCCATTTGATTAATTTATGTTAAATTAATTTCAGGAATATAACAACTACATGATTATATTTTACATTCTTGAATTTATTCAGTTTGACATTGAATTAAACAGTCATTTATATCTGTTATAGACTAGGGCTATATCTTTGACAGCAGCTCAACTCTGATATTTCTTGTTGTTTCACAATATTCCCAGGATATTTTTGCAATTTTTATAAGATGTATTCAAAAAATTGTAATAAAAAATAATAGTAACACAAAAATATTGTTTACTATTAATTTACTATGCATTATTTTAAACACTTAAAATATATAGATGGATGATATTTAAAATAAACTATTTGTATTTCGTGAAGATCTGTATTATCAAGAGTAAATCTTTTAGGTTTCATCATACATAAAATATTTTACTCAACCCGAAAAGAAAAAAAATCTAGAAAATGTAGTTGACATTCATATATATATATATATATATATATATTTTTAACACAGAAAGATTCACTTCAAGTATTAAACATTCTTTTTGATTTCATTTAATTAAATTTCTCTCAGAAATTTGACACAGAAAGCAGTATTACATACTAAATTTTTCATTTAGATTTCTGAATTTTATAAATGTAAATTGTCTTCTGTTTACAAAAGCAATTATAAATTTTTTTTCTATTTTTTCCTTCATCCAAAAATTATCAATTAATATTTTAGAATCAGTTTTTTTTAATAGTCAAAGAAGATTCTGCTAGTGTTTTTAAAAGGTATCAGTTAAACAAAGCATAAACTAAAGAGCATCTTTAATATTGTAGAGAAATAATTTCATCCATAAAAGTCAAATACTATTGTACAAAACAATATTTGACTTTTGTTACTGCATGTAACTATTAATACATACATGTATTTTCTCTTCATTTGATTTTACTGTTATCTTCAATACAGCAATTGCTTATTTATTTATTAAAAAATAAGTGGATGAAAGCTCATACTTTAATACAAAAATATTAAGATTTATATTTTCAAAATCATATCAAATACTTTTAAAAATCGATCTTAAAATAATTTTCCTTAATAAACAAATAAAATTGACAAATCTAATTTTTTTAAATTCATGTATATTATTTGTGTGTGTGTACTTTACCATATAATTTTTCATCCACTAATATCAAAAGTATTTAATTTACTGAATTAAAGAACTATTACAAATTATTGAATATGCCAGTTCAAAAGGAAACAAAGTATGTAAGAGAAAATAACTTCAGTTCACAGTTGATGAGTAGTGGAAAGGAATCAAAGAAATAACAAACATAATATTCATTAATGTACATTGTATCCAAAAAATATCTTCACTAAATAGCAATTTTTAACTCATTCATTTAATAGAATTCATAAATTTTTATTAAAATTCTGATTTTCTGATTTCAAAAATCTTGCTTGTATTATATGCATATTGTCTCATCTTAATTATAGCCAAATAAGAAAGAAACCGAGTCTGAAAGTTCAGATGATTCATCTGGTGACGACGATGACGAAGAAGAAGGCTCAGAAAAATCTGGAGAGGATGAAGAATCCGGTTCAGGATCAGATGATTCTGGAAGTGATTCAGATGATGACGATGATGATAATGAGGATTCAGATGAAGAGAAGAAGGTAAGCTCTCTCATATTGACAGCATAAAAGTTAAAATATTTTTATCTCAATTATCAAAATTTGTTGTTTTAGGAAGGTGAAGAAAGTAGTTCTGGTGACTCTGACAGTGATAGTGACAGTGAAAGTAGTAGTGATAATAGCAGTGAATCTGGTTCAGAAAGTGAAAACTGAACTAGAATTGAAGCTGTATTTAAAAATGGCATGCTCACTCCACTGAAGAATTGGTAAAAATTTGTCCTCAGTTTTTATTCCCTAACCACAAGTGCCTGGTTGTATGGCTGAAACTTGGTTAAAAGAAATATATTCAAAACCAAATCACCAAAGAGAATTATTTGATAATTAAGATTTAATGGTAGCAGGGTAAGATCAGGATATCCTATAAAGAAAAAAAACAAAAGCAATGGTTTTCAAATCATTATAAAAAATAATTAATGTTAAAATATTTTAATGTTTATTAAATTTAGATTTTTTTCTGAAATGGATTGTTTTGCCGATAACAATTATAGCGCAGAAAATAAGAATCATGGATAAGCTGTAGAATCTCAATTAGGATTTTAGAATTTTACTTTTTAAAATCATTCCCAGAAAAATAAAACGAAAAGTAAGTTTGTTGTGATGTTTTATTAATAAGAAATAAAATGTAGAGCCAATGCCAAAATTGTTCCTATCCCATTTAAAGTTTAGATTTAGTATAGGTTGTAAAATTAGGGAAAGAGAAGTAGATAATGTCGTCAATTTGATAAACAAATAAATGTTTTGTTTTGGTTTTCTTTTATATATATTTGTTAAAAATTTATTTACTCCTAAATCTTATTGCTAAAAACTGAAATTGTATATACAATATACATATATCTACAAAATTTTCTTTTGTTAGTTATCAAAATTGTAGGTACAAAAAAATGATTTTTATAGCATTTCTAATTGCAACAACAATGCATTTACTTAAAGACTGATACATTTGGCTAATTGGCTTTTATATACATCTCTGCATTTATATTTTAAATCAGCACATTATAGATAGATTTGCCATAACAGAAAAAGCATGAAGAAGAAAGAATGTTTTTATCTTATTTTGATCTGCCATTTTGTAATGGGTTAATGAAATGGTGAGCATGTTTATCCATTATAAATTTTTTTAAAGCCATTTTATTGATTATTCATTTTATTAAAATATATTTCTTAGCATAATTTAAACCAAACAGGAAAGATAAGATTTCATATTACTACTTAAACGAACAACGTTTTTCAAATGTTAATTAATCATAACACTGTGTGTTTTAGAGGGGAAGAAAAGAGATATGTAAAACAAAAATATAAATCTAGTTGTATGCACTGGTAACANCTGCTCTGATCCCTTAACCTTGAACGGGTTTGTCTACAGAGCTGTGTGTTAGATTCCTTTTGTTGTTATTGTGTATGGCACGATTGCACAAAATGACATACCATGTGTTTATGTACGAATATAAATTTTTTGGGATCTTATATGCAACCGAAATAATAATTTTGTGCAATAGGTTAAACCGTGCAAATTTGAAATCGGTTCGAGTTATACGTCAATGGCTTTTAATGATTTTGCATGGTTTAAATAAATATGGTTAAATTTAAGTTGGCAATTGAATTAGTTTTTCTATTTACACGTTGTCAAATTGTTTTTATGCATTAAAATTTTTTTTATCGGTGAGTATAATTGATCTTATTTATATATATTACTGAAGACTATAGATTTGTGAATTATATTTATTCTATAATTAAGATGGTGTTTTGCAGAAGCGATGTGTCGATATTAGAATCAAAAAAACTTTACTTAAATACCTTAACCTTGAATAGATTTTGTGTATTAAACTGCTTTAAAGAATATGATAGATTCTTTTCAATATTATTATTAATAATAATAGTAGTGATGTCAAATGGATGTAAATTGCTTTGGATGATTTACCATTTTTGTAAACTCTTCTTGGTATATTGTTTAATGATTCATCAATTAAAACATTTTGTTATATCATTTTACATGTTTTTGAATTACTATTTACATCACAACAAATTTACATCTCCATTTTTCTATATTTCTAACTGTTAGAAATTGATATGAAATGTAAACAAAAAAAAAATTGGTTGCATTTTAGTGGCTGAACTTATTCTGCTTAAAACTACATTTTATATACATATATCATAAAAATAATTCTGCTAATACGTAGAATATACCCTTGTCCGAATTTTTATGTAGGGTATTGTAAAAACAATCAGTTTTGATATCCCAAAAGTGCAGAAACTTTATTTCCCTTGCTTGTTACTTTATTGTGAGTAAAATAAAATAAAAAAATCAATTGTCATATTCTGTCTTGGAATTTTATTTTTTCCTTCTTTAAAAAAACGAATTTTTTCAAGGAACACTACTTATAGAATTTGAACACTATAGTTGCTGTATTAATCTTTGCCATAAATTGTTTCTATCATAGCATTTAAAGCTTTTTGCACCAAACTATTGTTTGTACATTGTTTAAAAACTCTTTGGACACAAGTTATTCTAATCCAAAAATATTGGGTTATGTTCTCTCATATCTTCAAACTTGGCTGCCAAGAAAATTCACACTGTTACCAGAGAGACAATTGGTAACTCCTTCACTTGTTAAGTTTCATTTAATATATTCTCTATTTTGGATGAACTTCAGTCAAAAACTATATTAGATGATGGAACAAATATCTTTTACATCAGTGCTACAGCTCATACATTACAGGAAAGAATTAGAGACATAAGGGTTGTATATATATATATTAAATAATAGAATTACAATAGAATTCCCTAAGCTAGTAGTATCAGAAGGCTATTCCAAAGACCAGGATCTTATCCAACTAAACTGCTATCACATGAAATCCCTAATTTTTCTTAGAAAATCCTTAAAATTCTAACACAAACATCAGCAAATGACACCAGGAAACATTTTTGTGATTTAATTTTTTTCACACCACCACCCTTTACATTCTTTCAAAGCTTTTTGTACCATGTATTGCCCAAAGAAGCTTTATGTATCAAGCAAAAATGTCTGCCAAAATTTTTTTTTTTTTATAATATTACTGTTGTTATTTCATTAAACTGTTTTCGGTAAGATTTTTAGTTCGAGTATACATATTTTTACAATTTGTCTACACAAAAGGATGCAGATGCCATTGCAAAAGGATGATTACATTTTCGCACGGGTGCAGCTACCTCAAAATATTTTTCTGGAATCCCTTTCTGATTTAGGTTCAACAGGGCATCCTTACAACTAAGCGCCTGATTTGTATTTGTATTTGAAATACCAATCGAACGGCCGATTATTTTATTGGGTTATTAAAACTAAATAATTACTAAGCAATTTGGCAGAAAGCAGGCGGCAATTTCTTGTTAAATATAAAATAAAATTATTCTTTCAGAATATTCTAAAATTAATTCATATTTAACAAGAGAATCTGTTTAGCATGATATTTACAAACCATTTCCAGAATTTTTCTTTTGGAAATGGTTTTTAAATGTGCCAAACCGGTTCGAATTCGAAATTTCGGTAGTTCGCACCCGGCTCAAATTTCACGTCTTAGTGACGTAGTTTCCGGAAAATGCTCAGCGAATTTTTTCCCACCAATCAGAACGGTAGATTTGTTAACGCAAAGAGAAAGGGAATATCCGAAACGGCAGCAATGAAATTTGCGTGTTCATTATAATTTTAATATGTAAATTACCGTCGGCCATTTTAAACAACTTCATTATCTGCTCAAAACCGGTTTTATTTTTGTATTTGATAAAATCGCGGTTTTGTTTCTGGCACTAGTATAGAAAGGTTTCAAGTCGACATCACACGACGTCGAGAGCATGCCCAGTTCGGCGCCATCTTTGTAGTTTGTTTACGTTTTATCTGTTTTTACTCGCGCTTCAGCTGCAGTTCTTGTGTTTATTCGTCGCGATATCACTGGTGAATTGTGTAACTAGTTCAATCAAGTGTGAGTTTTTAGAATGTGTAAGACAAAGTATTACAACCAAATTACGAGGAACGAACAGTTTATCATCAAAGTTGTTAATTAACAGGATACCGATGCCCGTCACAGAGACGAAATTAACAGATATAGTTACAAACAGGTCTCTGCTCTCGTTCAGTTTTCTTATATAAATTTGATTACGTGATCCTATTATAACTAAACTACTTATAACTAACCTTAACCTAATACTATGACTAATAGAAAAGATGAAGAAAGAAGAAAACGGGGTCCTGATCTGGGTGGTCGATCACTGTGGATGTCCAATCCGTTAACATCGGATTTTATACTGTGCCTTGGGTACAGTATAAAATCTGCACCGAGGTATCTCTTCAGACTTTACCGGAACGAGTCTCTTGATTAGTTTTTGACTCTGTGACCCAGCGTTGCCAGATGTTTTTTGCCCTTGTAGCCAAATAATTTTTAAAAAGTAGCCAACTGCTCGAGCAGTTGGCTACTTTTGTACCAGGTGTTGTTCTACCTAGTACTTTTGTACAAATCTAGTACCTTTTTACTTGTCCCAGTACCAAGATACCCAACACCATTTTCCTAGTACCATTCATGAAATCCTAATA